TCTGATCTGTGGCTCCTCTTGCTCTGAATTTTGGGGTTCCTCTAGCTCTGAACTTCGAGGTTCTCCTAGCTTTGAACTTTGAGCTCCTCTAGCTCTGAACTTTGGGTCCTACAGCCCCAATCTGTGGTTCCTCCAGCTCTGAAATTTGGAGTCCTTTAGCTCTGAACTTTGGGGTCCTCTGGCTCTGAACTTTGGGGATGGGCAAGAGCTTTGGGGTTCACCACATACATTGTCCACCAGATTCCCAGCAGTGTCTCCTCATTGGGCCTTCAACCAGACATGAGCATTGAGGTTCTCCAGGCATGGCCTGCGTGGTTGCTCAGAACCTTCCTGGGGCAGGAGCTCCAGGATGAGTCCTGCCCTGACTTGGGGTGAGCAGATCCCCAAAATGCTGAGCTAGAGCTCAGGGGTCCCACCAAGCCTGGTTGGGACAACCAGGACTCATTTTCCTCCTTTGGGGAGTCCAACTGACGTTGGAGGAAGGTCCCCAGGGCAGGAGGGATGAAGTCACCTGCAGGAGATCCCAACCCAACCCATTTCTATGGGTTTCCTGCAGGAATCTGTGGAGATTTTGGACTCCTGGATGGAAGATCAAGGAGCTTCATCATTCCCAACCAACCTGGAAGCAACCAGAGAAGCACCAAATCTTTACCCATATAAGATCTCAGCAGAAAACCTTCACTCTGAGAACTGAGGCCACCGCCATCATCTCTGGAGGCATCCAAACCTTCTCCTACCTTGTCAGAGCAGGTGATTCCCAACTTCCAGGCTCAACTCCTGGAGTAGATGAATGGAGCATTGAGATCTGGGGTGGGAGACAGAGCTGTGGGTGTTTCCAGAAGCCACATGTGTGTTTTTGGGGAAGGAATGTCGGAGCCTCCAAGGCCAAAAAATAAAAAAAAAAAAAACCACCTCTTGCTTCATGTCTAGGAATAAGAACTCCAGTAAGGAGGAGGAGGGAGAGGGGGAGAAAAACTAAAAAGAAAAAAAGTCAATATGACCTGAAAATCCCCAAGCTGGGAAGGTAGGACAGGCTGAGCACTGTGATGGCTAAAAAAAAAAAAAAAAGCAGGAAAAAGAAAAAAAAAAAAAGCAGGAATAAATGCTGAATGCATTTTTTTGGTGGCCACTGAAGGTTGGGAGCTGCAGGGATGGGGAAGGGGGAGCAGGGACAAGGTGTCTTTGACAGGAGCCAAGGGAAACAAGGGAAGTGTTGAGCTGGGAATGTGTGGGATGTGGGAAGGGGCTCAACCCGGAGGGAAATCCCAAGGGAGGACACTGGGATGGGACAGGGGACACAGCTCAGAGCAGGATCAGAGGGAGAATTCCCAGCTCAGCACCTCCAGACCCAGCAAGGAGCAGGATCAGAGGGAGAATTCCCAGCACAGATCAGGAAAAGTCCTTCCAGCTCCATGCTGGAGCAGCTCTGGCTCCTTCCCCCATCCCACGGGGCTGAATCCCTGAGGACTGAGTGGGAACTGCCCCATGCCAAGTTTTCCCATGGCTGAAGGACATTCCAGAGCTTTCCCTCCCCAGGGTCCACAAGAAGCAGCTCCTGGAGCAGAACCAAAACTTGGAGCTTCCAACAAATCCCAACCCTAAGCACAAAATAACCCAAAAACCAGGAGAAATCCATCCCATTTTTCTCCTCAGAACTTTACTTGCCGTAAAAGATAGAAAAAGGTAGGAAAGGAACGTGGTAAAAAACACCTGGGAAGGGTTGGAAGGATCCAAAGCAACCTGGGAACAACATGAGGTCATGGTGGGAGGAGAAATCCCATACAAAACCATGGAGAACCCAACGTAGAAAAGATTCCCTTCCCATCCAGAGCCCCAAAAATACAAAAGTTGGATGTGGTTTCCCACCTTTGCTTCCCCTGGAAAAGGTTTTTGAGGACCACGAGAAGCTGTGGAGCAATTTGGGCAACTCTTCCCATGCTCCTTGCTCCATTTGGCACAGCCAAGGAGAAGTTCCACCAGTTCCAAGTGTGAGTGAAGCTCCATGCGAGGAGTTTGGAGAGTGGTTGGGGGAGGAGGAGCAGCAGGAACATCGAGGTGTCCTCCAAATCCCACCTGGAGAGGTTCTGAGGGTAGGACTTCTTCCCACTGTCCTCCCAGGGTGGTGGGAGAGACCTCTGGAAGAAGTTCTGGAGGTATCTCCAAAGGTTGGAGCTCCAGTCAGGATTTAGCTTCAGGGAGGACATGGGAAAAGTGGTAGGAGAAGAGTGAGGAGCTTGTCCTGCTCCACATGGTGCCTGGAGCTCCTGAGGAGCTTCTTGAAGGTTCTCCAAGGAGGAAAACCTAAGGTGGTTCTTGGAGCTCCTGAGCAGGCAAAGTCAAGGCAGGAGGAAAACCTAAGGTGGCTCCTGGAGCTCCTTCAAGGAGGAAAACCTAAGGTGCTTCTTGAAGGTTCCCCAAGGAGACAAACCTAAGGTGGTTCTTGGAGCTCCTGAAGGAGACAAAGCCAAGGCAGGAGGAAAACCTCAGGTGGTTCTTGGAGCTCCTTCAAGGAGAACAACCTACGGAGGTTCTTGCTGCTCCTCCAAGGAGGCAAAGCCAAGGCAGGAGGAAAACCAACCCCAACACACACACACACACACAAACTTTGTTCTCTGTCCTTCTGGAAAAACTTTGGAGCATCTCCCCAACAATTCCATGGAGCATCTGCTTTTTGTACCTCGAGTCTGTAAACAGTTGGTGCTGGAGAACTGGAGACTGAGAGGAGAAAAGGACTCTGGGAAAGGAGGATGGAAGTTGCTCTCAGAGGTCACCTCAAGGTGCTTCCAGGCTCTTCCCACCTCTCCAAAGCCTCCAGGAACCATGGGAAGCAGGACACAACCTTCTGGATGGCTGAGCCAACATGAGCTTTGGGGTCAGAGGGTGAAGGAAACACCAAAACCATCTCCACCAAAACCTTTCTCCATCCACCCCCAACCAGATTCTTGTCCTCTCCTCACATCCAGCTCTGAGAGCTCCAGGAACTCTGGGAATGCCTTAAAAATCCCACTAGGAGCTCCAAAAAAACCCCCAAAACAAGGCCAAAAAAAAAGCAGAACCAAAGTTCTTGGATGGTTCCCAAAGTTCTCCCCAAGTCTCAGCAGCAGCAGCCCCTGAAAAAAAAAAAAACTATAAAAAGAAGTCTTGGAATACATTTGAAAAGAAAAAAAAAAGAGGGAAAATCCTAGAAAAAAAAACCACCAACGCCCCCCCAAAAAATGTGCTTGGAACATTTGTGCTGTGCCTTGGTCCAGGGAAAGGCTGTGGGAAGCCACCCAAGGCCCCACGGGTGGTTTGGTGTCTCCAGCCTCGGGCAGAGCGGAACCTGCCATGGTTCAGGGACAAATCGAGCACTTCCCGCCCCATCCCGAGGGATTTGGGGCAGCAGCATCAGAGGAGCTTCCGGTGGAGGATCTCCCAGGCCATTCTCTTCCGGAAGTAGGGCATGTGTTGCTTTGGGAGAGAAGGGGAAAGAGAAAAAAAAAAAAAAGGTTGGTCAATGGTTCTGGAATTGCTGGAGTCAGCCCAGAGCTTTGGGGGCTCCATGGGAAAGGGAAAGGACTTGTGACTGGAAAATGGGAGAGGAGGTGAAATCACGGAGTGGGAAAGGATTGGGATGGAGACTGGAGGTCAATCAGTGTCAACCTCCTGCTCTGGGCAGGGAAATGTCCTACCAGAGCAGGTTGGGCAAGGGTTGGGACAACCTGGAATGGACAGTGACAGCACTGGGGCATCTACAGCCTCCTTGGGGCAGCCACAACCTCTTTGGGGCAATCACAACCTCCAACCACAGCCTCCTTGGGGCAGCCACAGTGATGTCCTGATGGATTTGAGGCCAACAGGAGCTCTGGAATGGCTTGAGAAGAACAACTCTGCAGAGCTCCAGAGCCACAGTGCTCCAAGGAGCAGCAGGAGAACCTCAATGTGGGCTGGAGGGACTCAAATCCCCCAGGGAAAGAAGGAAAAGGGAGTGGGAAAAGTGGAATATGAACCTCCTGGAGGTGGGACCCACCTGGGTGAAGTTGATGGGTTTGTCTTTGGTGATGCAGTCGGCGTATTTACAGGCGAACATGCCACAGTCGCTGCCGTTCATCTGCTGAGGGATCTCCTGCAGGAGACACAGCAGGACCTCATTGGACACGTGTCCTAGACCTCCGAGGAGCCTCATTGGACACGTGTCCTAGACCTCCGAGGAGCCTCATTGGACACGTGTCCTAGACCTTCGAGGAGCCTCATTGGACACGTGTCCTAGACCTTCGATGACCTCATTGTCTTTCTCTGGACTTGCTCAGCCCTTCATAGTCACAGAACCATCAAGGTTGGAGGAGACCTCTAAGGTCATCAAGTCCAACCCTGGACCTGTCACTGCTGTGACCCCCAAACCCTAACCAGATCCTCCAGGGCCACATCAGACACCTCCAGGGGTGGTGACTCCACCCCCTCCATGGGCAATTCCCTATCCCAAGGCCATTCCCTGTAGTCCTCTCCCTGCAACCATGGCAACTCTCTCCAACCCTCTCAGGGAGTTCCTAGAGTCATGGGATGGGTTGGAAGGAGGTTAAATCCCACCCCATCCCATCCATGGGCAGGGACACCTCCCACCAGCCCAGGTGGCTCCAAGCCTCATCCAAAGTGTCCTTGGACACTTCCAGGGATGGAGCATCCTTTGGAAAATCCATCCCAGCTCCTCACCACCCTCCCAGGGAGGAATCCCTGCTCAACACCTAGTCTTGATCTCTCCCCTTTCCCCACTCCCCTCATCCTACCACTACTTTCCTGTGGAAGAAGTTGCTCTCCCAAGGATTTGGTCCCTCAAGGAGAGATCCCTAAGGAAAACCAGGGCCAGGATTAACAGGAAAGACCATGACAGACAGAGAAGCTCTGAGTGTCCAGACTCACCTGACTCTTCTTGCTCAGCAAGGCCCAACCATTGGTGTCCAACTCCTTCCTCTTCTTGTCCAGACCCACCACCTCCATGGGCAATTCCCTATCCCAAGGCCATTCCCTGTAGTCCTCTCCCTGCAACCATGGCAACTCTCTCCAACCCTCTCAGGGAGTTCCTAGAGTCATGGGATGGGTTGGAAGGAGGTTAAATCCCATCCCACCCCATCCATGGGCAGGGACACCTCCCACCAGCCCAGGTGGCTCCAAGCCTCATCCAAAGTGTCCTTGGACACTTCCAGGGATGGAGCATCCTTTGGAAAATCCATCCCAGCTCCTCACCACCCTCCCAGGGAGGAATCCCTGCTCAACACCTAGTCTTGATCTCTCCCCTTTCCCCACTCCCCTCATCCTACCACTACTTTCCTGTGGAAGAAGTTGCTCTCCCAAGGATTTGGTCCCTCAAGGAGAGATCCCTAAGGAAAACCAGGGCCAGGATTAACAGGAAAGACCATGACAGACAGAGAAGCTCTGAGTGTCCAGACTCACCTGACTCTTCTTGCTCAGCAAGGCCCAACCATTGGTGTCCAACTCCTTCCTCTTCTTGTCCAGACTTTCCTGCTTCAGGTATTGCCTGTGGGAAGAGGAAAACAAGGAATGCTCAGAGGGAAGGGAGGAAAAGAAGCCACTAAACCTTCTCAGCTTAGCCCAAGTGTCCAAGAAGTCTAAGCAGAAACCAAGCCCAACGTTCTCCTCTCAGGACTGACCATTTTCCAAGTCAAAAAGGAACTGAGGAGAACTTCCAAGCTCATCCAAGAAAAGTAGCTCCTGAGCAGAGGTGAAACCACAAAGAAACCAGAGAGGACAAAGATGATTCATTAGAGTGAGTTGTGGCATAGAAAAGTTGTCCCAAGGCTCAGAGGCAAGTTCTGCTGGTGCCTCTTGTTTTCAAGATGAGCTTCAAGACAACAGGAAGGAAGTTGTCCCAACCTTCTCAGCATCTCAGGAGCTCTGGGATCATCATCCTGAGTGGGAAGGGAAGTGCCATAGAGCTCCTGTCCATGGTGGAGCACATGTGGGAGGAGATCCTTGTGGGAGATGTCAAGACCTTCCATGAGGGAGAAGAGTCAATCCCATTCCACAGCCTAGAACTGGAGCACCAGGAAAGCTCATGGGGATTGACCAACCTTCTCTGCCCTTAGAGGCTTCCACCAATTTGCCTTGGTTAGTGCTCTGGGAGTGGCTGGTTTTCCTCCTGAAGAAGCTTAGAAGTTCTTCTGAGACCATGTCACACTTGTTCCTTGGCAGACATGGACATTCTGGGAAGAGAAGCTCAGCAAGGACAGAGACACCAAGGAGAAGCCCAAGGAGACAAGTTGACAGGCCCAAGATGTTCTTAGTGACCCTAAAGAAGTTTCTCTCGGGTGACACTTAGCTCTGTAGAAATTTCCTACTCCTCTTGGTCACCAAAAGGACCATGAAGACCCTCCAGAAATCACGTCCTCCATGTTGGGCACCTCCTCCGAAGAGCTTGAGGTGCCTCCTCAGCTTTTCTCCATCCTAACTACTCCAAGAAAAGGTCTCCTGGTCTGTGGATCTTCTGAAACACACAAGAACCACCTAAGGAAGGACCCAACGGAGCAGCAGGAGGACCCAGCAGGGTATGACCATGAAGCCAATCCCACTCCAGGGACCCTCAGAAGTGCCTGAGGTGCCTCCTCAGGAGGTTTTCTCCATCTTACCTACTCCAGGAGAAGTTCTCCTGGACTGTGGATCTTCTGGAACACACAAGAACCACGAAGGGAAGGACCCAATGGAGCAGCAGGAGGACCCAGCAGGGTATGACCATGAAGCCAATCCCATCCCAAGGGTCCAACAGCCAGGACCAGGTTCTGCTGGATGGAAAATCTCCAGGCAAGGAATTGTCCCATCCTGGCAGAGCTGTGGGAGCAGCTCTGCTCCAGTCAAGGCCTCGTTACTCGGCGCAGCCTTTGGTGCCGCTGGAATTGCTCCCAGGAAATTCTGCCCTGGCTGTTTGGACTTGGCTGCAGTTGGGCCAAGAGGAACTCAGCGGGAGGTAAATCCCAGGAAATATGGGAGAAGCTCCAACTCTCCCATCCCAATCCAAAGCCTAATAATGGGTGGAGAGTCTCTCTAATGAGCTCGGGGTGAGCTGAGGCTCTGCTGGGAAAGAAGGAGCAGCATGACACGGACACGGGGGGAGGTTAATTAATCAGTCAATTAACAGCCTGGTTTCAAGTGCAATTAAAATAATCGATCCTGGCAATCGTTGCTGACTCCTGAGCCGCTCAGGAAGAGGAGGAGCTGCACAGAGCTCACTCCGTGGGGCTGGGAAGGTACAACCAGAGGAATGGAGCACACCAGGAAGTCTCCAAGGAATGTCCAGGATGGGATTTGGGCACTGGGAGAGGAGGAAGAGGGAGGACCTGAGCCCTCTGGCAGCTGGGAAGGAAGCAGGGAGAGCTACAGCAGGTACAGGTTGAGCTGCCCCCCAAGAGCCACCAGGAATTTGGGAGTTGTTGCTGGGAAGAGCAAGGAAATCACCCATGGGAGTTGTGGCCATCACCTTGGGGGGGTCAGAGAAGGATCCACCAGTGAGGGGGATGAAGGTGGAGATGAGTGGGAAGGAAACAGTGCCAGGTCTGCCTTAAGAACACCTGGACTACCTCTGAGGAGGAAGTTGAAGGCCTTGATGTCAACCCATGGAGCTCAACTCCATCAGCTCTGCTTTTGGAACACCTGAACCACCTCTGAGGAAGAGGTTGAAGGCCTTGACTTCAACCCATGGAGTTCAACTGCACCAACTCTTGTTAGACCCTCAACCAACTGGTGATGGACCACAAAAGAGACAACTCCAGAAGACAAGTGATGACCTTAGTCAGGACCTCGAGGAGGAAAAGCTCACACAGAACAATGACACACCAAACTCAACCCTGACTGACCTTTGGATTGAGCCAGAGGCCCTTGAGTTGACCCAGCGGTCCCTGGATTGACCTAGTGGCCCTTGGGTCAAGCCAGTGGCCCCTGGATTGACCTAGAGACCCTTGGACTGAGCCAGTGGCCCTTGGATTGACCTAGCGGCCCTTGGATTGAGCCAGTGACCTCTGGATTGACCTAGTGGCCATTGGGTTGAGCCAGTGACCCTTGGGTTGACCCCAGTGGCCCCTGGGTTGGAGCAAAGACCTGCCCTGTACCTCAGTTTCCTGGCCAGTGGCCCCTGGGTTGACCCCAGTGGCCCTTGGGTTGACCCCAGTGGCACTTGGGTTGGAGCAAAGACCTGCCCTGTGCCTCAGTTTCCTGGCCAGTGACCCTTGGGTTGACCCAGTGGCCCCTGGGTTGACCCCAGTGACCTCTGGGTTGGAGCCAAGACCTGCCCTGTGCCTCAGTTTCCCTCCTCTGCTCCTCCTGCCGCTCAGCACAGCTTTAGGAAGCTCTAAGGATTGAAAGCACGAAAGGGTCACTAACCATGACTAGGACCTCCGTCCCTTCTTCCCGGAGTGATCCTCCCACTGCATTCAACCAATAAAAGCCTCCTAAAATGAAACAGAAGGAAAATAATTACGGCCAGGGAAATGGAGACCTCCAACCTGCGGCTCTCTCCCAACATTCCCTGCGGGGCTGGAAATGTTCTGCACCCCAGAGGGTTCCAGAGAACTCAGCGAGGTCAACGTGGGCACTTTGCTCCTCACCCCAAACTCCTACGTCAACTCCTGGGCCTTTCTCACCCCCCCCCAAGTAAAGCCCCAGGAAGGGCAACTTGATGCCAGGGGAGCTACCAGCACCCCATGGAATTCCAGAGAGAAGAGATCCATGCAAACCTTTATCTGTGCCAAGAGATACCAACCATCGCTCTGGAATCTCCTTCTGGAGACAAAGACCCTTGGAACAGGTAGAAGATCCCACTGGAATCTCCTCCTGGAGACAAAGACCCTTGGAACAGGCAGAAACTCTCACTGGAATCCCCTTCTGCAAGGAGCTACTGAGCTGACCTCGGGCACAGGCAGGAGAAGTTCCCACAGGAATCTCCTCCAAAGAGCTGCTGAGCTGACTTTGGGTACAAACAGAAGTTCCCACTGGAATCTCCTCCAAAGAGCTACTGAGCTGACCTTGGGCACAAACAGGAGAAGCTCCCACAGGGAGAAGGTGCCAGGAGATGCCATTTCTTCAAGGAGCTGCAGGCCAAGGGAATGATCCCTATATCCCTGAGGCTCTCAGGAGGTGTTTCCTCCTCCAGATGACACCAAGATGACTCTAAGACTGTCAAAACTCAACGTCCTGAAGAGAATGAGCCTGAACCCTCTTTGCACCCCCAAAAGTGTCACCAGTCTCACCAAAAGCTCTTGTGGGAAGGGGTTGGAAGACCCAGAACTTCCCTGGGAAGAGGTGAAGAGAGAAGTGGGACACAACACTCCATGGAATCTTCCCATCAGGCTCCAACCAGGAAGGACTGGTGGGGCTGACAATTCCAAAGTAGGTGTTACTCACAGCAGGATCCGACAGGCTTCACTGTTTATTCCCCCCATGGAGTCGTAGTAGGTGATGGTTTTCTTCCTGAAGTCCACGACCTATGGCCAAAGAGAAATCCATGAGCAAAGAGAACATCCCAAGAACATCAGGATAACCCAAGCAGGGAGGTTTGGATCACTTCACAGTGGAGAAGAAGCTCCAAACATCTCCAAGATCTTCCCTTCCTGTTGGGTGACTTAAGCCTCTGAATGTCCCAGTCAGCCTCTCCTTGGTGGGACATAAGAGCTTTGTTGTCCTCAGAGCTTCTCTCCACCTGACACACACCAGAACTAGACAACTTCAAGGATTTGGTGGATTTTGGGGCCTGTTCCTCATTTTCAGCTCCCCCAGAGAAGCCAAACCTTGTCCAGGTGAAGAGCTGTCACCAACCAGTGAAGGTCCTTAAGGGTTTGAGGAGGTTTCGGTTGAGGAGAGGCTCAAAATGCTCTGGCCCTGCCAAGGGAGGAGATTTTATCTGGGAGCAACAAAAGGGGTTGGGAAGAGGGAAACAAGATCTCTCTCCAGGGAAGGAGTTGCCTGGAGTGACCTTGGCAGGGTCTGGACGGAAAGGCTGGAGAGGACCAAGGTGGCCAGAGAGGCACCGACTTGGGGGCCAGAAATGCCCCAAATTTAGACTAGAAAGGCACCAATTGGACTAGAAAAACATCAATTTAAAGACTGAAAATACCCTGATTTTAAACTAGAAATGCACCGATTTAAAGACCTGAAATGCCCCAATTTTAGACCAGAAATGCCCCAAACTGAGACCAGAAATACACCAATTTAAAGGTTAGAAATAGCCCAATTTAAAGACTACAAATACACAAATTTTAGGACTAGAAATGCACAAGAGCAGAAATGCATCAATTTTAGACCAGAAATACCCCAATTTTGGACCAGAAATACCACAAATGTAGACCAGAAATACCCCAAACTGAGATTTCTAGTCTCAATTTGGGCACTGAGACCAGAAATACACCAATTTAAAGGTTAGAAATAGCCCAATTTAAAGACTACAAATACACAAATTTTAGGACTAGAAATGCACAAGAGCAGAAATGCATCAATTTTAGACCAGAAATACCCCAATTTTGGACCAGAAATACCACAAATGTAGACCAGAAATACCCCAAACTGAGATTTCTAGTCTCAATTTGGGCATAGTCTCCAA